GTGACAGTCGTGGCAGTTTCTATCTTTTGAGGGCTTTTTTTATTATTTTTTATTTCCTCATCTCATCTGTGACTCAAAAGTCGTGATACAATCCCAACCACGCTAGTAACTGGTGGGTTTTCTTTCGCCTCAGCAAGGTTATGGAATATATGTGCTGCTGTGACTCCACAATATGTTATTGAATGCGTATTATTTGACTTGTTTTTCAACACAAAAAAAAACATTACGTGGGTGTATTTGCTTTCATTGAACCGGCAGCTCCAAGGCCTCGGGGAACAAACAAAAAGTGTCATGACGGGAAAGACTTCAGCAGGTTAATAATCCCCAACGGAGTAAATCATGGCTTTTTTTTTTTCTGCACTGTAACCCGCAGTCAGCCACAAAAAACACCCGAGTGTGCTTCACGTTATCAGGGCTTGAACCGAGGCTGCCTGGATAAACTCTGAACACGACGTCTTCTTTTGGAATCCTTCAGAGTTATTGAAGTTATTGGCTGTGCGTGCCTGTCCTTTCTGCTCAAGCGTCCCATATTTCACAATCCCGTTTTATCCACTTGTTTTTTGTCAACACCATTAAATGAACTAATCTAACTTCTTCAGAACAATCGAGGTAAACGGCGGAGTGTGCCAAGAATGATAATCTGTATTTACTGTATAAACACAGCGGAGGCACGGGGGCCCGCGGGCTTGTTCAGAACCAACAGCATGTTGATAAATAAGGAAGCCGGAGTTTTCCTTATAAGGCTCCATATATCTGATCGCTTTCTCTGAGTTGTGCTTGATGTATTTTCGTCGTGCGAGCCGCCGCCGCTCCCACATGTATGCATCTCAAAATAATGTAAACAACCTGTTGATTCAGCTTGTGTTCTTATCGAGTACATACATAACATAAATGCCAAAACACACAGAAGGTTAATGAGTAAAGAGAGACGGACGGATTGCTGCGAGATAAAGGATTAAAGGAGGAAACAATGAGCAGAGAACATGTAATGACTTAAGTGCAGTTTGGAAAGAAAAGGCAGACCAGCTGTGCAAATCCACTTTCAGGTGTGTGCGGGGGCAGCTCCGTCTGCTCCGCCATGTTTCAAAAGAAGCCTCTTGTTGCGTCCAGCTGCCGCTGAGGCGGTTCCTGTCCGACCCGTTCACCGCAGTGACTAATTACACTCCGGCCTCGTTATATAAACAAGTTGCCCAACTGTTTTTGGAGACTGTAACACTTTTTCCCGTCTCGTTTTTCCAATTTATCTCAAGTCCGCTGATGCACAAGCAAAAATATTGTAATGATCTACATCACGGAGCCCCGAAGTCAAACGCAGTCAAACCCGCGAGGCAGCTCGTCGATGTCGGGAGTCCAACCGCAGCTCCTCGAGTGGAATTTTCAAAATCGGCAGACTTTTCTTGATGTTCAAATGGAAAGCAGCCTCCTATCACTTGATTGCAGCCCCCGAGCCTCTTTCCCAATTTGTCTCCAGACATTGTTTGGCTCTTTGTAAAACATAATTGTGTCAACAGTCACTAGAGATGAGACACCAGACCTTTTGATAAGTGCCTTCCCACAAGGTAAATTTGGCAGGCGGGAACGGAGCAAACATGCAAACAAACCGGCAGACAGTAATTTTCCGCTGCCTGTTACCGTGCATTTTAATAAGGTTGATGGATTAACGGCTCACTTCAGTAACAGCTCACTCGATGAGCTCCGGTTAAAGCCTGTGCTGCTCCAGCGCTGCTCAGTAATGGTCACTCAAAACACCTGGTTCCACTGTTTCCACATTATTTTTCTATCTAAATATCTTTGTGGCTTTTTTTTTCCCCTCCCCTCCAGTGGAAAGCAGTTAAACCCCCCATAAACAATGTGGACTTAAGATTAAATAGTTGAAAACATAAGCTCTTAAGTGTGGCTGCTGATCACCGGGCGATGATGGAGCTGCAGGGCGAACATTTAGCAGCACCGGAATGGGCTTCCTGCGGCTCGGTGAAGTGCGGATGTGTGTGTGGGCATATGTTTGTAACGGCCGAGTTGGTCGGAGGGCAGCTGACCTCTGTCCCGGTACGTGGACATTAGTGCGTCTACGGGAAAAAGGGTTTTTATCTCGGAACAGATCTCTGCTGTGTCTGGTGGTCGCCTTCAGTTTTGCGAGTTGTCGCTTGTGTTCATCTTTCAAACTCTAAAATATAACGACAGGATATTTTCTTGAAGTTTTTAGGAAAAGTTCGCTAACTGCTTTATTGCCGCCCTCGTAATAACCACATCATGTCTAATATCTGCAAATGCCAAGTACATAACAAATAGCAGCTTTTGTTTTGACACTGGTAAGTTATCCTCTGAATCGCTGGCTGAAAGGAATAATTGACGCTCTTTGTAAGTCTATCTTTTCACTGGTGTTGGTGGTATTTAGGCTCGCTTAATGGACCCTGCCACTCTCCTCCCATGTCTTTGATCAGTGTCCAGCCTCCCAGGCTCTTATCTGAGCCAACACAATGGACCCGCTACCTGCTTTTATTCTTCTCTTATTCAGAAAAGGGAAAGTCAGCCCAGCTAATGACTTTGGATGTCAATGTTTTATCCCCTTTTATATCCCAAGTTTTTTTTTTTTTCTTTGGTCTTGTTCTTCAGTGCTTTAACACACAGACTTTTGGCTGGGCTAGTCCCCCCTCTGAGCTAAATATCACTGTAAAGTGTGTCTTCCCTCTTGGTTATTGCCTCTCTATTGTCCACCGGCTTTGTGAGCAGGGGCTTTTTGTGTCAGCCTGGCTGGAATCGGCCTGTTTACTGTGAATAAATGGGAGCAGAGGAGGCTGGGGGGACTGAGCCGTGCCTCTTTTAGAGTGAAGGAATGTTGCAGCACACACTGCAGCACCTTAGCGCTACATCACCCTGTCTGATGACAAAAAAACCTGGATCATATTTTCTCCCTTTTTTACACCACGTCCTCATGTTTTTGCTGCTTGTGATTATGCTTCTCTCTGCACATCTTAAATCTGTGTGCGGCGGTAATTTCATTTTATGGCTCTCTGACCACATCTCCCTATTCTCTCTTTAGAAAAATCATTAATTAACTATTCAGAGCATATGGAACTATTACCAGCACCTGAGTACCTCCATTGAAAATCTGACTAGCTGGCTGCTAAACACAGTAATGAACTAAAACAGATTCTTATGGAGCCACGTCATGTCGACTCAGTTGATGTATATACATTCCTTTTCGGTTGCATAATTAATTTAACACCCCAAAGACCAGAAGGATGGACTATGATATGAGATTAAAGAAGTTATTGAGGTGTGCTATAGTCAGAGTTTTCAAGGTCACAGAGGTGACTCTGTTTCTTTAACCTGGCTGGATCACCATGGTAACCTACGCTGCACAGATAACCTGCTCCAGAGGAGGTTCTGTTCAGGGTTTGGGATTTAAATTGGCTGTGAGAGAAGCCACCCTTTCACCAGTTCTTCTTGCTCTCACTGAGCGATATAGATTTTCCAGCTCAGGCAATATGTTATATATGCAAATCCACTGAGCTGTACATTATGCCACAGAAGGAAGCCGTGCAGCAGCGCAACCCGTCTCCATTGTGTTCCCATGGGAACCTGCACGCCTTCAGTCTGAGATGCAGAAAAAACGCGCGAGTACATTCCTCGGCTTCGGCGTCACAGCTAATAAAACACAGATTAGAAAATGGATTAATGTTCATATTTATCACAGAGGATCCGTCAATGAAATTAATTTCACCCTGATTTGGCCGAAAACTGAGCACGTATCCTTCATTACGGGACATTATCGGTGTCACTAGCAGCTTTTGAGTTGTTAAAAAATTACTAAGAGCTTTAAATTGTTATTGAATTGTAATGTGTTTTTGTCCCTGTGTAGATTCAAGTTGCTCTCTTCTGCCGAGTAAAGTGTTTCCCATTCGCACAGACAACATATTCTCTCACGTTAAGTGTGTCACTGCTCAATATTAATGACCTCAATTATACTGTATTAACTGACTGAGCACAGAGGATTATGGGTCATGTGTAGGATTTCTCAGAGGGCGACATGTAAGTCGAGAATGTGGTACCATGAGCTGGGCGGGCTTGTTGGGAGGTGGGCTAAGCTTACTGAAGGAAATATGGAAAGAATATGAGCACATCTGGTTAGCGGCAGCCTTTTAGTCTAACAAGGAAAACACAACATACAGAGAACAATAGGTCGTACTTGTCAGGTGGTTTATGTTAAACGCATGTCACCAGAGTAGAAGGCTTGATTGTAACTTATATACAGAAAATTGATGCTTGATGAATACCTCTGGTGATGCTTTTTAGTAATAATTAATTGGATTTTTACCATATAAGTATCCATCCATCCATCTATCCATTAGGTGAGGTAGAGCTGGGTGTCATCAGCGTAACAGTGGAAATCCATCCATCCATTATCTATACACCGCTTAATCCTCACTAGGGTCACGGGGGCACTGGAGTCTATCCCAGCCAACCAAGCACACTCACATTCACACCTACAGATAATTTAGAATCACCAAATAACCTCAACATGTTTTTGCACTGTGGGAGGAAGCCGGAGAGAACCCACGCTGCCCACGGGGAGAACATGCAGAAAGATCACGTCCCGGTTCACGTCCCGGTGAGGACGTGAACCGGCGACCTTCTTACTGCGAGGCAACAGTGCGAACCACCGCTCTACCTTGCAGCCCCATATGAGCATTTGTTTATGAAGTGTTTCCATAGCTGGTGCAACAGATAAATTGTCTGTACACACGTTCCTGTCAGGTCACCACAGTCGTACTTTTATAAATGAACGACAGCGTGCATTCGCTGTTCTGTTGCTCTGCTCTGCAAACTGTATCTATGATGGAAGCTGTGGTTTAGTGGCAGACAGAGTACAACAGGAAGCTTCATTCTTCATTCGAGTTATTATCATATCTATTAGGCGTTATCAGATGACGGGGGAGAGAAATTTAAATGGCCCAGTGTCACAACTGATCGTATCTCTCGCTCGTATGTCTTTCCAGGTATTTGGCGATTACTATCACTTCCGGCATCGCACAGTGGTGAAGAGATCGCTGTCGGATCACAGGGGGACGCAAGTCCGTCTACAAAGAGATCCCAAGGTAAGAGGTTTACATTAGGGGCTGCTGTCATGGGGGTTATTGATGTTTCGGTGTGCTACACAGGGAGTGAAATGTGTGAGATGTGGGGACTGCTGCTGTGTTTGTAGTCCTGTTGCTGAGCGCTGGTTGTGGTGCCACCATGAGGGTCGCTGTAGACGCTGGAGTGCAGACTCTTTACTGCCATTAGGGTGCTAATGCGGTATTTGGAAGACGTGTATTTATTCAACGTTTGACCCAGTGAACGCCACTCCCTGGGCTGAGAATGGGTTTTAAAGCTTATAAATGCTGTTCTGTAACATTAGAAATCCTCTCATATCTGCACCTTACATCAGAATGCTGAACTGCTGATCGAGATATGGAAACACTTGTTTGTTTATATTGCTTTAAGTTATTGGATCCTGAAGAAACGCTCTTTAATTTTGCTTGTACTACTGTGTATGTACAGAACAATGACAATTAACTTGATTTGATTGATCTCGTGTGATGTCACAAAGTGAGAGGTCTATATCTTATAAACCAGCAGTCCCCAACCACTGGGCCGCGGACCAGTACCGGGCCGTGGGTCATTTGGTACCGGGCCGCACAGAAAGAAAAAAACAAAACAAAACATTTGATTGGTTTATTTTTATTTCCAGTGGAGTCTGCAGGGTGTTTTATTTTGAAAAATGACTAGCTCGTCTTCCCGTCGCGTCCGTCTTGTTTCTCGCACTTGACTCTTATTAGTTTTAATGCTCGACCGTTAAACGAAGCCGTCAGTCTAACCGCTGCCGAAATAAATAAGAAAACAAACATCTCAGGAGAGCTTCTTTGGAAATAGACTCGATACTGAGACGGAAACACATATTTAACAAGTAATTTTATTAATTTGTGAAACTTTTTAATAGTAGAAACAATTATTTTTTGTGCAATGACCGGTCCGTAGAAAATGTTCCTGATTAAAACCGGTCCGTGATGCAAAACGAGTTGGGGACCACTGTTATAAACTATAAACTGAGGCGACTGTCACTTTGTTAAAAATGAGTATCTGGAACATATTGAGCGTTTTGGTTGAATGTGGTGAATTATTTTGGGTTCTGTTCGTAACATTTCCACAGAAATAAACATCACATTTGTTCCATCGTGTCTGTTATGTGGAATAAATATAAAAAAGTGACAAACTGTTTCCAAGCAGATGATCGTCGTGCATTTAGTGTTTTCAATACTGGAGCCATTCCCCCTTTTTTTGTTTTACTGTGATTGTGATTAAAAATATCACATTTGATCTTCTTCAGTCACCATTTAACACATATATGAACTTTTCCCTTAATTTTCTAGTTCGATGGATGATTTTAAGATAGATGCTCCCTCAGTCATGACCTGTCCAGAGCAGGAAACAGGCAAAACGGAAACCAATGAGAATATACGAGCTCACAGCCACGGGGCAAAGAGCCAAACCCTTAGCCCTCATTTGTCACCTTGTTTTTAATGGCTGTTTCAGATGAACCACAGCGTCTACTGTTCTTCCTTTTACCGGAGGAGCGCTCGGAGGTGAGCCGGCGCTTCTCTGCGGATCTTCCCCCAGATACGTGCTCTCCGCTGTGGACCTAATTCTTCCTCCTTGACTAATCTAATTTTAAAATTCGCATTTCTGTATTTTCTGCAAGAGTGTTTGAGGTTAGTGTGAAAATGAGTCTGTGTCCTACCCCACTGGGAAGGACAAAGGGAAGAGTGTGAAATTAACATTCAGAGCCGTGGGAATGCAAGGGAGTGTGCAGCTGAGGAAGAGGAGGCACAGTGGTAGTTTGTTCAACAAGCTTCTATCAGAAAAACCTTCAAATTGTAAAAAAAAAAAAAAGACTTAAAAAGCAAAAATAGGGTAGTTTTGATAAACCCTTTCTATCTGAGCCGAGTTAATAACTGCTGAAGTAGCTACAACAGCTCAGAGAGTTAAAGAAACGGAAGCATCTGGAGAAAATAAGCAAAAATTTGTAGAGTTAAAAGTGTAAAAACACAGCATGTGAAGAGTTTTACAACCTACTGGGTTACAACTATTAATTTCTTCCCGAATGCATGAATCTGCCATTTAGTTTCCCAATTAATTTAATAATTAGTAATTAGTGGACGACTTGCTCTACCTCCTGAGGTTTTCCTTTGATCCATTAATTTTCCACTTACTACAGTAATAAAGCACGATTAAAAAAAAAAAACACGTGAATTTCAGCTCCCTCGAACTTTACAAGCTATGACACTTCTAAGCAACTTTCCCAACAACGTCTCCCTATAGGATTTCCTGTAATGTCCCCTAATTATGGTATCCTGGGGATGGAGGATTGTTGGTGCATTGTTGTTCTGACGAGAGACTCTGGACTGTATTCAGACAGCCTCAGCAAAAATCACAAGTTAAATTGAAATTTTCATTTGAGAGGAATATTTCAAAGCAGCCGATGTAGCTGTGTGTCACTTTGTAGGAAAAAAAAAAACCCAGAGCAGCTTTTCCCCCCGACGTTTGCTGTCAATGTGAAGATTATTAATTGGAATTGCTGGCTGCTATTTATTTGGGCTCCTCCTATGGGCCCCTGGCTGACAATACTGTAGCATCAGGAGTACATTTAAACAGGTGCGGCAGGGTGTTTTTGACAGCTGGCGTACCCACATCGCGGTGGCTTTCAACAGAGAGAACCTGGTCTTAAACGGCCGTGGCTTTACGCTGCTGCTCATGACGATCAGTCGACTCGAGAACTGTTGCAGCAGACCGGCTCCACTTCAAGGCTTGGTTCTCTTTGAGTTCTTCACTCTTGGGAGTATCTGATTGTTGTTATATATTAGCCTGCTCCTAATGATTCAGCCCATCAGCGCTTCTAAACTGTAGGAAAACGCTTCAAGCTATTACCTGTGGCTCTGCTTTTTTTTTAAAAATGCGTTTTCTTTCTGTTGCTGTCATTTCTGTAAAAAGATAATAATGTGTGTTTAAATTGTGTCCAGGCATTTGGGTGGATGGAGATATTCAGTGGCAATTAGAATAATTTAGGAAAATGGCTATATAAATCTAGATACATGCATCTGGAGGAGTATGTATGTGAAAATCAACCTGTTGCCCAAAAAAAAGTTGCTGCAACCTGCCTTGAGGTGCCCCCGACCACGCCGTCGTGCCGTCGTGCCGTCGTGCCGTGCGTCAGGTGCACGCTGGGAATAGCACGACTCGGGCTGGGTTTGTTTGCGTACATGTTAGAAGTGGTCCACCTCCCTCTTTGGGATTTCCTTTAACACGGCGGCTCCATTTCCTGTTGTTGAATTCCTTTTTTCCCACAGCACCTCAGAGAAAGTGGAGCGTTACAAGCTTCAGGTCCTCCCGTCTGCTCGGGAACGGTCGGGCCGGCTCGTCAGTAATCGACCACATTTTGTTTTGTTCGCTTGTTTGTTTGATAAGAGCAGCTTTGAAAGTTCTGGAGTAACTTACAAGTTCAACTTTGGTTCTCTCCTCTGCTGTTATTATCAATACGTTTCTGTAACCGCGCAGTCTGATCAAAGCCTTTAAACCAGCAGATTATTGCTAATTTGATTCTCATTTGCATCGTGGTTGTTCTGCAAAAAAAAACATTTTAAAAAGAAGGAATTTTAAATTTTAGAGAGACTCTGTGCACAGCTTTCAAACTGGTCGGGATGAAGCCTGAACAAAACGCTCCGTAAACTCTTTTTGAAGAGTGTCTAATTACTTACAAAAGCCTCTGGACCTGTGCCAGATCTCATCGGCTGACGACAGAGCACCCGTTAATGGGCTCTATTGAAGATAGAAAGCTCGGGTCTATCTGCTACCTCCATGCCTTCTACTGTTTTCTGTTGCTTTTGTTCGTCCTTGTGTACCGTTTACTCCGCTCCAGTGTTTTTGTTTGGTTAGTTGAACGCCAGAGACGACAGGCAGACACAGCAGAGCGATTGTTGACTCCACAAACGCCGAATTAACTATTCAACCGTCATCTGTTCGAGGCTTTTATCGCCGGTTCGATCGCTGCGGCCTGAAAAAGGAGCAGCTGACATCAGAACAGGCTTCAGCAGAAATATAAACGACACTGATCTGTGCTAGGACTGGTGGTGCGCTCCTTTATGGTAATGACGCTTTATTTTTGGCTTCCTTTCGGCCCTCAGAGGGAGGAAGCTATGTTTGTATAATGAAGAAGGACAAAGCAGCGGGTGGGCAAAATGGGTGGGGTGGGGATTCTATTTGTTGGACAGATAGGACCCTCCGCCTAAACATGAGCCAAGGCAGTCTGTTTGTGAACGTTCACCGTGCATCGGATCAGTCTGGGTGTACGAGATAGACACTGTTTTTCCATTTTCAAAGCCCGTTTATAATGAAAATGCAGTTTGTCAACTTCGGGGATACTTTGTATGCTGCCACAGACTATTTAAGAATTTCAAAAGACTCCCTTCACATGAAAAATTGCAAAATAGAAAATGTTTGTTGTTGTTGATGTTACACCTCCTCCAGAAGTATGAAAGCTGCTCAGTATGTATCATAAGAGTGGCTCTAAGAGATATGACGTTGTTCAGAATAGTCCTCGAATTGTTGTATGAAAAATAGAATAAGTGGTGAATAATGTAAGGTGCCATAAGGAAGATGTATTTCTCCAACTCTTTATCCTGTGAATACTTCATGAACGCACCTCGGCCACTAATCTGTGCCATCGTTTCCTCGTGACGAGGACCGGAGCAGTCCTGTCTAATACATTAATTAGTGCAGAACCACGTCTTTGCTGGATTTTGATGGACGTTTCCAAGAACTGTGCGCGACATTAAGATGACTGGCTGCACAAATTGGTGGGAAATAAGTGGTGTCATTGACATGCGTGGAGCTGAGACGAGCAGAAACTGTAGCTAGAAGCCAATCTGCGTGTTTGTCTCATCGAGCAGGCGTCCCGGTGCCGTGCAGTCTGAGCAGCGAACCTTGTGTTTCGACCCCAAACATGTAATTTCAATAACTGAAGTGAGTTGTAGATAAAGATGTGACCGGTCTTTTTCTTGTT